ACTGAAGACTGCCATCGCACGGAAGCGCCCTGAATTGGCCAACAGGTGTGGAATTGTTTTCCATCATGATAACGCCAGACCTTACGTCGCAATGCCTATCGTAAGGAAGCTGTTAGACTTCGAATGGGACGTTCTTCCTCATCCTCCATATTCTCCCGACCCTGCCCCATCTGACTACTATCTATTTCTTTCTTTAAAAAATTTTCTTCGGGACAAAAAATTCGAGTCTTTGAAAGTCCTCAAAAGTCATCTTGATAAATTCTTCGCCAATAAGAAACCTTTATTTTGGAGCAAAGGCATCATGCAGCTTCCTGAAAGATGGGCCAAGGTCGTTGAACAAAACGGTACATATTTGCTTCAATAAAGTTCCTCTTTGTGCAAAATATTGCGCTCTTAATTTATTTCAAAAATTTGAAACGAACTTTCCGAACAACCTAATATATATATTTAACGAAGATCCTGCTGCAAAATTCCTGGTCCGCTCAAGTGACAATAAAGGGTCTTGAAGAGCCTACATCTGGAGGAACAATATATATATAAAAAAAAAAAGAACACATTTATTCAGTCGAATTGCTTTCACGCAAGGCTGCAATTTTTATGAAAATGTACACGGAGAAAAATGTTTGGGCGAACGGATAATTTTTCTGGTGAAATATGAACGATTCGGAAATTCCGATCGAAAATACCAGAATTCTGTTTAAGCCGACGAGAAATCTGGATAATTTAGATTCTGAACTCTGACAACAGCGGAACGTGATTTCTATATCGTTTATATTTCACATCGGGGGAGATTTTGCATTCAACCGAATATTTTTTTCCCGTGTATACTTCCCAAGTAGGAAAAAAATTTTTTCTCAATATAAAAATAACGCGGGAATAATATCTCATTAGCGCGCTCACCGGATAAATACTTTATATTTTTCGGATATTTTCCTCTCGTGGGCTGTAATTGATTTGAGAGTCTGAATATGAAAAAATTCATTACCGGCACGAAGGAAAACAATACTGTGTTAGAGTCCTTGCCGAGCGAAAATAACTCGTGCGTAACGGTGACAACGACGCTGCTAGTACCCCGCGTTGCACCCCGACGCCGCCCTGCGAAAATCCCCGGCGCAAAAAGAGGAATAATAATTAAGAGATACACACATTCGCCGCGTGCATTTGCCGGGTCGTGCGGAGCCGGCAGCTTTTTGGGACTGACATCGCGACTCGCGCGGTACGCGAATGCGCACGCGACAATGGGTGTGTTTGCGCGCGATATAACGTCAGTCACATTAATCGCATCGCCGTCGCGTTCTCGCAGAGCACCAAAATCATTTTCGCGACGTCTCTCGTCTTTTTCACCCGCTCCCTTCCTCCCCTTCGTCCTTCTCCCCCTGTCCCCTTAGCTCCCTCCGTGGATGTGGGTCTCGGCGGGCTCTTACAAAGAGAGCCCGAGCTCCGGCGCGCTCTCCTTCGCAAATTCCGCCACGTCGACCAGGCGAATTTCCGCCGTAAAACTAACCGTCGACCGCGGGTCTCGACGAGAAATGTCCCGGCTGACGTATAATCGATCAGGCCGAAACACCCCCCTTGTCGCCGATCCCTTAAATCCGCCCACCTATCACTTGGCGGTATGTAAAGGGTGTGTTTAGAATCCGACCGGGAGCGGGAGGGGGGAGGGCCTCTTTAGAATGGTACTCGCCCGGCGATTCGTAACAGTCGTGACCGCGTACTCTCGGCATAATGCAGGAATCGTGTTCCGCATCCGGAAGTACCGCGCGGAATGGATGCTCGCCCGGCACGCGGACGCCCTTTGAAAAACTGGCCGCCAAGCAAACATCTTCGGGAAATATATCGGGACAGACACCTCGGCCATATTTAACGTCCGCGCCGGACGAGGTCACGCGTTATTCCGCGCGCGGTATCGCGCGGAATCGCGCGGTGCGCGGCCTCATAATAATTAACGAACCAAGTCCCAGCCGACCGGCCGATGACGATGCGAGTCGCATCGTCATTCGTGAGAGACAACGGAAACTCGCAATGGGCGTCGATGATGCCGGGCTACGCGCGAATTTCGACACAAGAGGATATTTCTGCCGGCGTGTTTCCGTAAGACACCCACCTTAGATGGCGTTTTGTTGCAATGCGATATACAGGGTGTCCGATAGTTGAGCAACGTAAGGCTTGCGTACACACCCAGTAGATCTCCATCGAACTGAATGATAAGGTACAATTAGTGTTTTGCGGATTCTTGCAGTAGTCTTTAGGGACTTGTTAAAAAAACATCAACGAACGAGTGAATGAAAGAAAGAAACCCGCGAGATGCGCAAGTCGCGGTTTCTGCAACGGAGAATTTTCCGGTTGAACGACGATGGATAAAATGGTACGAAGAGCGTCTTTATCATCTTTTTTATCACCTGGTCTTCGATTTCTTCACATTTGGACATTTCTCCGTTCTCATGTGAAAAGCAGCGGCAATAGCGTAACTCGAAGGAAATTCCAAGTTGTAAAATACTTTCCTGACCGTCTCATTATTGCAATCGCGAACCATTTCGGGAGTCAAAGTTCAAAATTCATGACGAAGAGGAGTACGACGACGATACGGCGATGTTTCTACGCGGCACACCGAATCTTTGTTCGGCGCATCGAACGAGGGACCGAGAAGGGGGTGGCGGAGCCTCTCACCCTTGCCCTCGACCTCTCCCCTCAAGGGTAATAAAACGGCAATTTAATTCGTACACTTGATAAACGCCGTCTGCGCGAGCGAGCGAGCGAGCGAGCGAGCGAAACGCCTGCGAGATCGGCGAGAGGTAAACGAGCGAGCGAGCGAAAACGGGGAGGGCTTATTTTGCAAATCATCGCCTCGGCGATAATAAAGCGCGCGCCTGGAGAAACAAGGAGCAAAATAAAGGCGCGGACGTGAGCGATGACGAAACGCGGGCCCGCGTTTCACGAGGATAATGATAAACTGCCGGCGTCAGAGTTAAACGATCGATTATTTCGTCGTGGAAAGATGCGCGCATCCACGGCACAAGTGATGGAGCGCGCACAATAAATCCGCGAGGCCGAGAAAAGCGCGCGCAGCCGCTCCGCGCTCGATGCCCGTCGGGCCGGGGGGAGGGGGGGGAGGGGAGCGCGTTTCGTCAAAGTAATCGCGCCAAGAACGACGAGGGGGACGTTCCATTGTCGGGGTGTCGATAATTACGAAGGACTTGATAACGGATATTTTCGGACGAGCGCGCCTCCGGCGCGGCGGCCGCGCAGCGGCGGAACACAAACATCGCGACTCTGCCTCTCTCTCTCTCTCTCTCTCTCTCTCTCTCTCGCTTCTCTCGTCAATTAATCGTCGTCGGACAATTTCACGGTGAACAGATGGGCGGTACGAGTGTAATTGTAGAGCGTGACTTGAGATTGAGCGATCTATGAGGAGGGCTCGCGAGCGAGCCACGTCGCCACGTTCGAGCCGAAGCTACGTTTTCACGAGCAAGCAAGCATCTTGGCGCCTCTCGAGTGCAATCCCAGCTCGCTGGAAAGCCGCGAGCGAGCGTCGAGGGCCATCGCGCTACCGCCGCGGAACTGGGCATTCCATCGCGAACGCATTGAGAACCCATGGCTGCGTCCGGCTTGCCCGCGACGGAGAGGGGTTGAAACGAAGGCAAAGGGGGGTTTCCAGGGGGCTGCTCGCAGGGTGGTTAGTGGCATTCATCGCGATGCAGATGGTTTCCACCCCTCGCGTCGGCACGAGCGAGAGCGACAGCGAGCGAGCGAGCGAGAGAGAGAGAGAGAGAGAGAGAGAGAGAGAGAGAGAGAGAGAGAGAGAGAGAGAGAGAGTGTGTGTGTGGGGGAGAGAGAAGGAGAAAACGAGAGAGAGAGAGGGGGGGGAGCGAGGGAGAGAGAATTCACCGGCGATGCTGCTGCTACTGCTGCGGCTGCTGTTGCTGTTGCTGTTGCTGTTGCTGCGTGTGCGTGCACGCGCTTTTTCCTGCGCGCGTCCCTCTGTGCCTTTGGCCTCTCCATAACTACCTACCTACCTACCTACCTATCCGCTCTCCCCCTCCCCCCTCTTCTCCCTCATTCTCTCACGATGCACGCACACGTGCGTATGGTCGTCCAATCGCCGGTGCGTGTTTCCTCATTCCCTCCGCGGCCGGCGTGGACACGCGGTGTTGCGTGTGCGTGTAGGCGAGATTGCGTCCAACGTGCGTAATGGTGCGTGCGTGCGTGCGTGCATGCGTGCGCGCGCGCTTTGCGGTTCTTTCTTTCCAATTTTTTCCTCCTCTTTTCGCCGGCTCCGCCGACGAAGGAAGAGGGACCCGCGTAGTTAACCGACGCGAGAGAAGACACGCCGCGCCGCGCCGCGTCGGCCAAAGTTGCCTCGTATTTCCCGATTCGGAAAAGTCCCCGCGAGAGTCAGGTGGGGCATTATATTGTTCCTCGCGATTCCCGGCCGGCGTCTCCGGCCGGTGGATGTCGGCGTTTGACGATTACAGCCGATCTCACACGCACGATTTCGCCCGGATCACAACACAGAAGCGTATCTCGCGGAATAAAGCGCGAACGTCGTCTCGGATTTAATTCTCCTTTACGATCGAATCCCATTGCGTCCTCCCCGCGTCTCTCCCTTCCACGGCCTACAACCCCACCTCCTCTCTCTCTCTCTCTCTCTCTCTCTCTCTCTCCTACTTGGCTCGTGAGCTTATATTGTATATACCTCGGGAGGGTAGAGCCCGGTTCCCTGTATTTACCTGTCACCTCGATGACGATCGTGACGAGGGTACTACGCGTACCCTTCGTCCTTGACGCTGCTCGAGGTACACGTCCAGACGTCTCGCCGGGAGCTCATGATTCGCGCGCACGGTTTTTCGCGACCTCGCTCGCTCGCGCGCGAGGAAGTCGCGATGTTAATGAGCTCGTCTTTAAGACGACTAATGGGAGCTCACGCGAGCCTCGTCGACTGCGAGCTGCCGACCTTCTTCATTAGCGCTGACTGTATTACGAATATGCATGTGTGTACGCAGATACTACTCGAGCCTTTGGGATGTCCTTCTGGATGCCTTCTGGATAAGCCGGTTATGATGAAAATCAGCCGACTACCTAGACGCACCGTGGCTAACGTGCGAGAGACGGACGGAAACGCCGGAGACGAAATCGACCGACGCGAAGGCAGTTTTTGCGGTGATAATTAACAACAGATGGCCGTCGAGCATTAACCGCTTATCAAGCGCAATTTCCTTTTGGCTTCGAGTAGTTAAGTGTATTATAAAGATACCGGCTGCGCTTACTTTTAATCGGCGCTAGCGAAATCGCGCGCGAATAATCCGTTTTAATTAGCCCGATGCGAAAGCCGTAAGAGAGCAATTAAAATCAATACCTATAAACACCGAATCGACGATCTTGCCTCGCCGAGAAGCAGAGGACGAGAAGGAGGTGAGCGAGAGAGAGAGAGAGAGAGAGAGAGAGAGAGAGAGAGAGAGAGAGGGAGGGAGGGAGGGAGAAAAAGCGAGCTTCGGTAAACAGCAATCAATTATCCGACGCGAGTTCGCGGTCCGTACGTAAATTATCTCGTTCTCGCTCGTGCTCGGCGGGGCGCGGGAAATCGTCACATTTTTCACGGAGATTAATCGAGTCGACAAACGAGTTCGATCGATGAATAATCGATTCGGGGAGGCGCGATAAATCGGCTCCCGCGGGCCCCGGTGGTTAGCTACCGATTCCACACGCGATTTGCATACGCAGGAACGTGTCGCGGTACCGACGACACCGGTACCGGGGACCCACCTTCAATTGTCATGAAAATGTCTCGAAAACGTGTCGCCGGCTCGCCAATGACGCGCGCTGCTTGAGCTCCGCGTAATACGATGGCGAGAAGGGAAAGAGAGAGAGAGAGAGAGAGAGAGAGAGCAGCGTGCGACAGAGGAAGAACGAAAGAAAGAAAGAAAGAAAGAAAGGGGGCGAGAGGGAAGGAGTCGGGCGAGCCCGGGCGACAGAAGGTGGGGGGGATACCACGAGACACGAAAATTGGCATAAATGAGATTGATACGACTTTAAGTTACTCCACGTGTGAGAGGCTCGTCGCTCGTCGAGATTCTGGTCCCGCCACTCGTCACGCCACTTTGCGCGCGCTCGCGCTCGCACTTCGCGTCCTCCTCGTGAAGGAAAGCTCCACGAGCGGCGAGCGACGAGCTCTCGACGACGACGAGCCGGGGACGCCCGGCCAGGTACGCCCCTGCCGTTGACCGACGTACGTGTCGCTCGTTTCAATAACGATTTGCAGCAGGAAACCCGTTCGGCGGAAAGTGACGTTGAGAAAGAGACAGAGTGAGAGAGAGAGAGAGAGAGAGAGAGAGAGAGAGAGAGAGAGAGAGAGAGAGAGAGAGAGAGAGCGCACGCGAGGGAAAGAGACGCAGAGAGATCCGGAGAACTAACCGGGTAGCCCAGAGACGAGTTGAAGTTGATTCGGTGTCGACCTATTTAGGGCTGCAGCTCGATTGCCGTGCCGCGATGAACGAGAGTGCCGTGCTTTTCTCTTGATTCCCCCGACGTGCCCGACGGTGTGAATGCCGTCTCGCGACAGGTGGCATTTGTACGTTCCACGTACAAATCGTAGAAATCTTATCGGAGCGCTTATCGCGAGGGATCTCGTAAAAATGTCAAGTATATCGGTCATGCTGCGAGGAGACTACCGGTAGTTCGACCTTGTCGCGGCGCGATCGCTGCAACCTTGCCTTGTTTGACTAGCATCCGAGAAAGTACACCGTGAAAAATTTATCTCGTTACGCTTCGTCAAAGTTTTACTGCGCCGAAGGGTCGTAAAGAAGAGTCTTCGCGGGTGGTCCCTCTCGCGCACGCCATTGTGTTATTATGTATTTCGTAAAACTCGTCACTTGGCACGCGAGGTGACTCAAGTAGCGGCTCGCCGACTTGCATCGCCACGCACCGGTTCCTGTAGTTTCTGATTAATGCAATCATTCGGAAGTCGGCGATAAGAAACGCCCTGGCGAGGCAAAAACTTGGGAGAATCACTTGCCGAGAGGATCGTTGGCAGTTGCTTCTTCTAATATATGGTAGAGCCTTTCCAGAGCGGATCCGCCGCCGAGACCCAGTTTTTTTTTTATCGAGAATTTTCACGGACGTTTTTCCGACGAAACCGTCACCGTCACTGGACAGCCCCGAGAGGGGCTCCCAAGGGGTTCCCAAAGCTAGGCAAGGTCCGTGAAAAACTCGTCCTTACGTTTCATGTTTCTTTTCTCTTATTTGACCAAGATTGCAAACAGTCCTATAGAAAATGTCACTCGGCTTCGTCACATTAAATCATGTTCTTTTTTTGGACGAGAAGACTATCGCGTGCTTTCTTTCTCGAGCTAACTCATCGCTTATACTCATCGCGCAGTTTTCGCTAACAATAAGATTCAAAGGTAGTCGTAGCGTGATAGGTTGTATCTGCCGCTAAGTGCGGCGTTACGATGTTTGTGCAGAAAGGTTCTATGAAACCATTGTAGCTGCGTCGCACACTGAGGTCCAACAAAACGTTAACACCCGAGGTAAACCGAAACTGATGATTCGCTTTAATTCGGCAGTCCACTTTGACAGTTTAATGTACATCACATGTCATACATATCACGTTAACCCGTAACACCGTATTATTTTGCAAGTCGCACGATGGAAACGATTGGACAAAGAACGTCGGTCTGCTGAAGGTCAATGTTTTACCAAACGCGAAAGCGGACTTGATAAAGAACGGATTCGTGCGTGCACGGAAATGCGAGAATTCGCTTTGACGATCGCTTTCAGATCCTGCGCGCGAGCTCGCAGCGATTTCGGAGCGGCGCAAAAAGGCAGCGCCCAAGATGCTCCCACGGGTGGCGAGAGGTGCGCAGTGGCCTCATCATGGCGGTGGCATCATCGTGGTGGTGACGGGAGCTCGCGAGCGCGCGGAATCTGGGAGCGGCGGCGTGTAGAACAAGTAATAAAATAATTTTAACGACCGGCTTGAATTATGCGCGTGGTACAAATAATAATATCTGCCCGGCACGCATGCCCGCAATAAATATCGAAGGGGTCCCCTCCGGCTCCCTCCCCCTCTCTCTCTCTCTCTCTCTCTCTCTCCCTGTCTCTCTCTCTGTCTATCCCTCTTTCTTTCGGTCTCTCCCCTCCTCGCCGCCGCCCCCCGCTGGCGATCCAGGAACCCTCGAGCGTACCCTCTTCACGGTGTACCTCGATGAGGCCAGCCTCGGCTACTACGTGCAGGCACAGGCCCCGAGTGCACCGAGAGGGGGGACTCTGCGAAAAGGGGCCCGACCTGGTCGCAGTGATTCTCCGTTGCCATCGTCGTAGCGTGGCGACGCAACGGCGATAACGTGGGAATAGCATGTAAACGACGAGAGCATGATTCGTTCTCGTTCTATCATTCGCTCTTAAGGACCTGAGTCACGTTTGAGGAATTTAGAGATAAGGATTACAATTTTTCTCTCTTACCTCGATCGGGATGGAAGAAGAAAATTCGCGATAAGCCGGCCGATTGTCGGACAAACAACAAGTTGCCGATTGATAATTGTATTATATACATTAGCAGACGGAAATAGAGGCGCACCGTCGTTTCCGATAAACATGATGAAAATTCCACGGGTGTCGCCTAACATTCGCGAAAGCGGAACGAATCTTCCTCTTTCTCTCGCTATCTCTTTCTCTTTGCTCACGGGGCTCCTCTCGGGTGAAGCAGGGCGACTTCGATCGACGCCGGCAGGTGACGGTCGTAGCGCGAATTAAGTGTCATAAGATGTCGGCCGCGTGTGAAGGGTGTCTCATTGTCGTTTCTCGCCGCGGGAGCGAATTCCGTGCGCGATCCCGAGCGCCGCTCGCGTCGATGGATGTATCGACCGTTGCAATAACAGCGGACGTTTCCAAACCGCCACGACCGCGACGACCACGGCGGCGATGGCGGCGACTATTGTGTGACACCGACCCCGCGACCCTTCGCGTAAAAATAGAACGCCGAATCAAAACAAATACACGAGCGATTCTCCGCTCTCGCCGTCCGTCGCGTTGGCGAAACATCGGTCACGTCGCGATCGCGCCCCCCTCCCCGTGTACCTTGCAAACTTCATCCCCTGCGGAAGTCTGCGCGCGAGAAGGACCGCTGCCTCCTTGGACAAACACAGAAGCGGCCCTTTGCGGCTCTCGAACTCTGAAAGTCTCGCAATCGGCGCGATAAGTCGCTCACTCGCTCGTTCGCGACGCGTATCGACGCATTAATTCGATGCGGGCCTTTTTTACGCCGACCATTTCGCTTCGAGAAGTCCATCTCTCTTGTCGCGGTCTTGTGAATGATGCCACCCATTGTGGTATCATCAATGTCCCGGAGGAAAATAATAATGGTCACAAACGGACAAAACGTTTCCTCAATGCAAAGTTTCTACGTCCAAATTAAAAAGTTGATTACGTCCAAATGTTTCTGAGAAATTGCAACAGCCTTGTAGATAATATTGCAGCCTTGTGTGTTTTAGAATTTTGAGAAACTCTGAAAGATATCATTAACATGTTTCGGAGAAAGATAAAGATAAAAATACTCACAGAGACAGAGCGCAGTCTACGTTCCTTGTCACAAAGTCAAAACCGCAAGAGCGAGCGAACGTTCGCACGCTTCTCCCGAAAAATCTTGCTAGTGCTACTTGGCGCAAGTGTGAACACCGACGCATCGATCTATCCGTTAGCTCGTCTCACCGGTTCTTCTATTCGTAATGAATTTGTTGTACGCAGTTGAGATGACATTTGACACATGCAAATGAATGAGACGCGACGACGTTATTCGATAACCGGCAATTGCTGACCACCATATGGCACAATCAACGCGTTAAACAAATTCGAGACGAGTTCCTAAGACGCCGGATCTCGCGAGACAACGTGTGCACGTCTCCGCGGTGCGGCGGCGGCGGCGGCAGCGGCGGCGGCAAAGTTCGACGAACGTTGAAATTGGCCGACGGGGTTGCGTCGCATCGCGAAGGCTATCCGGCGCGGATTTCGCGGTGCGAGAGAAAGAAAAATCGTCTCGATGTCGAGAAGAGCGAGAGGAGGCTTGGCGGAAGAGGCGAAGGGCGAAGGGGGGGCAGCAAGCGACCGGCGGCGGAGAGACGACGAGAGAGAGAGAGAGAGAGAGAGAGAGAGAGAGAAAGAGAGAGAAAGAGATTATGTCGTCAAAACGGACGTGTGGCGTAGACGGCGGTTGTGCCCATTGGCCCGTTGACAGCGCAATGAGATCCTGATTTGCGCGGATGTATTTAATCGCGCGAGCGCGGACGCGCGCGCGCGCGAGAAAGAGAGAGAGAGTCGCGGGCTCGCGCGAGCGAGCGAGCGAGCGAGCAGTTGCGCGCATCGTTTAGCAATCAGGGAGAATGATGCAGCCAGAACGAACGGACGAACGGACGGATGGACGGATGGACGAACGGACGAGCGGACGGACGGATGGTCGGTCGACCGAGCCGGTGCATCGAGAAACGCGCCGTACGCGCAATCAGTATGCCCGCACAATTTATTTGTACACCTGTGCCCGCGCGCGCTCCTGCGGGACGCGTGAAAGAACGAGAGAGAGAGAGAGAGAGAGGGAGGGAGGGAGGGAGGGAGGGAGAGGACGATCTGGAAGTCGGAGAGTGCGAGAGGACACAACTGTTTTGCGAAAGAGGAGGAGGGCCCTTGCGAATTTCACAGAGTGGGACGTTGTAAGGATTTTCCTCGATTGTTTCTGGGAAATCCGCGTGAAGCTATTTCCATTTTTCTTCATAGTCCTTCGAGAAGACAGTCGAATGGGCAGTCACGTATTCGAGCTTCTTAATGATCCTCACACTTGTATTTCGACGAGACTCGCAAAGTCAGAAGGTCTCGTCGAAGGTTCTCGGAATTTTCCCTGAACCATTTGTCTCAATTCTGCTTAGCTCGAGAGAATGGCATATGACACGAATATTGCCTTTCGTCTCTTACCGCATACGGTGACTGTTTCCATTTGTAGGGAAATTCTTTTCGGACGAAGTTTGAGGAACCTTTCGGTTTCGGTATGAACGCGCCAACGGAGATATATTAGTCACCAAAGTTGTGCGGACCTCGAAAGGATTCTTTGAGGGTCTGCCTAGGAATCTGTAAGGAATTTTATTTCAATTCTTTCCAAAATACAGAATATCGCGAGATAATCTTTTTAAGATAATACCGCGAGATTAGTCGCGCAAATGCTCGATAAGGAACCATGCGAAATTATCTCCGTCCGGTTATCTAAAGCAAGCATGTCCGGAAGGACATTTCGCCGTCTCGTCACGGATCATTTCCATCGGCAGGCAGAAATGAGGTGGAAAGGGATCGCAAGAGCCTGTTCGCTGATAATACCGGTAGGACACACGTTTTTTTGCAGAGCACTCGGACGATAGCAAGTAACGAGAGCGGGTCGACGTGTATCAGTAGCAACAGAACACAATCGGTCACTTACGTCCGCATTTTGCTACATCTCTACGGGAACTTGTATCTTCCAGCACAGAATGCCGTGAAGAATCGCCTTCTCCTTTGAGGAGTCCCTATGAGAGTCTTCGATTTTGTCACCACCCAGACCGAAGTTGACATCTTCGTCAATCGTGACGATATTTGAAAACGACACAGACGACGACCCTCTTCAGACAAGAATGCCATGTGTAACAGGTCTGCGCGTTAACATCGTTTAGCGAAGTCTGCCTCGGAAATTAGAGAGTCCCATTATGCGCCCACGCATTGTGTGTTCAACCATGTGGCGCGCAACCGTCCGCACCTGTTTTCCTTGTTGAAAAACACACCGGCATTACTTTGCGCGCGCGGTCTTGACGCACGAACACGTTCCCCGTGGCGGGCTCGGCTCGCCGTGAGCTAGACGAGCGAGAGATTATTTGGATTCCGAAGAATGGCAACAATCGAGCTTTGTAATCGGTCCTCGAAACGATAAAGACTTTGTTGGCTACCCTTCCGGTGCCGCCACCGCCGCCGTTCTCTCCCCGTCTCGCGACCACCCCCTGATTTTCGCTTGGTTTCGCTCTCTCCCTCTCCCTCTTTCCTCTCTCCACCCTCCCGCCTCCACCCTCCTTCCTCCTTTCTCATCGTCACACACACAATCTCCCTTTCTCTCGTTACTCGGGCTCTAAGAGCTGGCCCAATGCTATCACCTGTTGACAATCGCACGCCTACGAATTCGCCCGCGTATCGCGCGATCGCGCCCCCGCCTCGCCCTCGCTCTCCGCCCGGCGACCTCTCTCTCTCTCTCTCTCTCTCTCTCTCTTTCTTTCGTTACGCGAGTTTGACGGCGTTCCAAGTTCGATGAATCGAAAGGGGGCTCGCTTTCACGCTAAAGGGTTCCGCGACGAGCCACGGCTTGCCACGACGATATTTCCCGGCATTTCCTTTCTCTTTCGCTGCTCAGCCCTCCCGCGGCAGCATTCACGTCGCTACGGCGATGATGATTCCACGAGAGCAAGGTCACGATCACGGACTGACGGCCGAGTGACGCGGGTCGCGAGATAAGATTGCGGCCTTCCGATCGGGTTCGGCGCGACGCGCTGCGAGACGCGACGAGACGCGGGATCGCGACGCGAAAAGCCAACGTCGGATGAATGAACACGAGTGCGAGGTGCACGCGCTACGAGCTGGCCGTCCGCGCGGGCAGAAGGAAGAGGATCGATCGGTCCGTTCAGGATTCTAGTTTTCGAGTGCGAGTCTATGTGCCGGGGCGGCACAATGAGCTTTCTCGTGTCGCACGGCCGATGCGCACACTCGCGCGCACTTACACGCGATCGCACGCGCGCTCGATAGGATAGATAGCCCTTTATGTGTGTGTGTGTGTGAGTATACGTGTGTGCGTCTACGCGTATGTACGCGAGTCTCTACGTATATACGAGTCTAGGAAAGCTCGGTGCCACAAAGGCAGTGCGCCATCGAGTATCGCAAACATTGATTTGAATCACAAAGACCGCCCGCGGTATTCCATTGTCGGACTCCGACTTATTGTACGCTCTCTTCTCCCCCCCCTCTCTCTCTCTCTCTCTCGCGCGCGCGCGCGCGCGCGCTCCATCGCCCGCTCGCGCTCGCTCTGTCTCTCCCTTTCCCACTGTCTCGCTCCGCTTCTCCTTTACCCCCGGCCTGCTACGTGTATCGCACGATCCGCTCTATCTTTTTTCAACGGTAACGACCTATCAATCCACTTATTCCGCGCGGTTTATATGCCACTTGTGGCATAGTTCGGCCTAACGCGCCGCTGTGTGGCGCCGGGCCGGGCCGGGCGAGCGGATAATGCGCGCCGATTTTTGTGGATACGCACCACCTGTGGGTCGGCCGCGCGAAACGCTCGCCGTGGGGTCTCGTCTTCGCGGGGTTGATGTTACTCGGGGGATAGTCGCGCGACTCACTCGCCGTCGCCGTCGGCGTTCGTTTGTTAAGCCAAATTCCGCTTAGCCGCTCTGCGGCTAACGCGCGCGCGCTTTTCGATGAATTTCATCAGGGCGACTCACCGCGCCGTCTCGGCCGCGGATTTGAGCGCCGATCAATCGGCTGCGCCTCGCTCTTGTCACTGTTCTCACCGTCGCGATAAGTTGGTCTTATCATCGGCGGCCAGCGGATAACGCCGCGATCTCGCTGCAACGCCGGAGGCCGAAGATCGTTGGCCTCAAGGACGGAATTGCGAAATGAGACGCGTCACTCGTGCAGCGAGACCGCGACGTCGACGAGCGTTTCGAAGCGTTCGCTCGCGAAAAGTAGTGAAGTACAATCGCGCGCGCGCGCGCGCGCGCGCAGCGGCTGTGTCGGAGCGGCGATTAGGAGGACGAGAGGCGAAGAGGGGCGAAGAAGTAGGTTACGCGAGGGGGACACACGTGTCGTCGAGCACGTTGCGCGCCCGAGCATCGATCCTCCTCGCGGAGAAGAGACGTCGGCGACGTCAGCGCGCCGACGAGACGAGCCGCGGCCTCGCGGAGCGAGGACCAGCCGCGTTTTCGTTCGTCTACGACGAAACGCCCGGCTCTTCCTCTTCTCCTTTTTCGCGCGTCTCGCCGCAACAGGTCCCCGACGCGGGGTGCGCCGAACAGCCGATGCGACCGCGACCGCCCGACTTGGAGCCGGCGACTCGGCGGTCTCTTCTTGGCGGCGGACGATCGGCGCAGTGCCAGGGAGAGTAGCTCGTCACAGAGGCGGACGACGTTGACCTTGAGACCGTCGAAATAATCGCGTCGATGATAATGATAGGTAAAGGAAAGGATCCGCGATTGGATAAGCTCGCGACGAGTGATCGAATGCATCAGCTGCGCGATTGGAGCTTCCGCATCCTCGAGAGAGGCGAAGCGACGGAGAAATCGATGCGATTTAAGGCTGACCTGACGCAATCATCTACATCGTCTACGTCGCTACGGGGAGAACTCGCGGCGGCGAGAGAGCGCACATGCGCGTGTATATACATATGGGAGTTTAGACGCACCGCGAGAAAAATCCCGCCGATAAGATAGCGTGATAATCGCGCAGTTAACTGCGGCGTGTGATTCACCGCGGCCGGAGAATCCGCGAGCTCGCGCCGCGACTTTGAGACATCCGACCCGTTCCCACCGGTCGATCCCATTCCCTATTCTGATCCGCGTCGGCAGAAATAAAGGGACTCTGCATTTTGACTTTTCGACCTCCGACGGGGAACCATGGGGTGCTCTCTTAGCTTCGACGCGTTTCCCACTGCGAAATTGCGAACAATTGCCGTCGACTTTCCGTCCCTCTCGCCTTTAATTCCGCGCAGTTCCATTCCCAAAAAGATATCATCTCCACTTGCGCTGGAGCGTCAACTGTCAACCCGGGACGTACATTGAACGTGTTCTTTTTCGATTTTCGAGCTGATGCAACGTTAATACTTGGCGAGTTCACGCGAGAAAACGAAACTCGCAAGAAGCAAAGAAGCACATTCAACGCCAAACGCGCGTCCATAGCGCACCCACCCGGTCCAATAACACCCCCAACAACAAGTCCGACTCACGTTGAGCCTTCAAAGTCGTCCCTTGGTCCGTCGCAAAAAAAAAAAAGTAAGGGACCTGGGAAAATGGAGGGAAAGCGTGGGAAGACAATATCCACGTAAAACGAGAGAACGAGTGGGAAACGTCGGTGCGTTATGACGCTCTCGCTCTCGCGTGCGAAGGAACGTATTAAGGTCTGTGGATGGTGTACGCATGTTGTACGTAGCGCGTAGCGGTACGTGCGTCCGACGGGTAGCCGATTTCGCGGCGCGAAGAGAAACGTCAGTGGTGCTCAGGGCGAGGAGAGGGAGGGAGGAGTCGGTGAGAGAGGAAAGCGGAAGGGGAGAACCCCGGTGGGGTAGCTGCGAGCAGCAGCAGCAGCAGCAGCAGCAGCAGCAGCAGCAGCAGCAGCAACCAAGGGAGGGAGTAGGAAAAGAGAGAGAGAGAGAGAGAGAGAGAGCGAGCGAGCGAGCGAGCGAGAGAGCCAACGGGAGAGAATGAGAGAGCAGACTTCGGTCTTGTTCGCCGTGACGTCACCGCGCTGCGAGCCCCGCCCTCATGGCGAACGGACCTGCCGATTGGTCGAGAGGAATGATGGCAGGCGCTGTTGCCAATCGATTGCCGTGAGCGCTCGAGCCCGGTCCGTCGTTCGGTTGCGATTCCCTCTCCGCCGGTCGGAGTGCGCTCCGTGGTGGGGAGGCGCGCAAAAAGTGGAGGTGGGGAACGGCCACCTTCGGCAGGAAGTGAGCTTCGACCCCAAGGAGTATAGCGTAAATGCTCAGACTGTTTCGTTCTCCGGTGGAGAGTGGAGGTCGCATCTCTCTTCTTTTGCATCGGGCATTGCAGCCTAATCGTAGTCGTTGCTGTCACGTTGGAACGGTAGCAGGGTGCGCGGTGTTTCGGGCGAAACGAAGGGAAATTTCGAAAAAAAGAGGAAAAAACGGAAAGCAAGAAGCGAACGTAGGTGGGAGCGAAGGTAGGAGTGAGCGAGCGAGCGAGCGAGCGAGCGCGCGCGCGTGGTGCACGTGCGGACTGCGTGTGAAGGTGTTTGGTCTCGTGCGTCGTTGCCGCACAGTCGTGTTGCGATTCGTCGAGCGTGCCATAGGCCGCAGCCAGTCAGAGTGGCCAGCGTGAGACACGGAGAGTGGTGAGAGACTAGCGGTGAGGGGAAGAAAGTGAGTGCCGTCAGTTCTCACTTGGACTCTGTGACCTGCGGATCCGTGCCAGGTATAGGGAGTATACTCTGCTGGGCGCTGCTTGTCAGCCGGAAGACGAGTCGTGTGTGTACGTAGGTAGGTACAGCCGGGCGCACACACGGGTCTGGTGAACGCCAGTTCGCGGAGTACAGACGTGGAGACCGATATAGTATAGTGATCGGAAAGTGCTTCCTACCGACATCGAGTTTTCAGGGACGAGTAGTCATTTCGTGAACAATATCCACGGCGATCCACGGAGGTGCACGGTGTGAGAGGGGGAGAGAGAGAGAGAGAGAAAGGGGTAGAGAGAGGGAGGAGAGAGAGAGAGAGGTAGAGACAGACATACACATTCACCAAGGACAAGATTCCGCTTGTGTCTAGTACAGTATGTGCGATAGTGCTTGTCGCATCGTTTGGACAGTGCTCTCGTGATCGCGCGATTCTTCGGATCGGAACTTGCATCATCTCGTATCGTACTCCCGACCAGGGGTGGTTCGGTGTCGCGGGTGTCGCGTTCTCGCACGCTCACCGGTGAGCCGCGGTTTCCACAGGCGCAAACACGTCATCCGGACGTAAACGGGCGACGCAGTCGTCAGTGACAAGTTGAGAAGCCACTTTGATGCCATCGGTCGGTGCGCGCAGGTGGACGTCGGGCAAGTGACGGCCCGAGGTAACCCGGGCCACCTCTCATCGGCTTCCAGATCAGATCCTCAGCGGGGCTGCTGCGTGACGCGCACCTTCGGCGTGCTTGGTCGCGATTTTCTTGACGTCGAGAGGTACCAGAAAAGGACGGCAAGCTGTACGGGCACAGGGAGGAAGACATGCTAACGATGGAGACGGATCTGAAGGGCGGCAACTTGCATGGTCAGATGCCACCGCATCCGCAGGGTGTATCGCCGATGGGACACCACGCCGGCATGTCCTACGGCACTCTCGGCTCGATCGTGCACAGCCCGGCGTTGTCGGGGAGCCCGCCTGGTGCGACCGGCCTCGGTATGGGTCTTCAGCATCATCACCAGGCCCAGCAGCATCACCCCTACGCCTCGATGCAGGTCGCCGCGGCCGCGGCCGCGGCCGTGCAGCAGCAGAACATGCACGCGATGGCGGCGCAGCAGAGCGCCCATCAGCAACAGCATCATCCGCACCAGTCGCAGCAGCAGCAACAGCAGCAGTCGCAGACGCAGCACCAGCCCAACAGTCACAGCGGCAGCAACAGCAACCCCGGCAGCAACCCCGCGAGCAACAAGAACAGCAACATCGACCGCGTGAAGAGGCCGATGAACGCGTTCATGGTGTGGTCGCGCGGCCAACGGCGCAAGATGGCCCAGGAGAACCCGAAGATGCACAACTCGGAGATCTCCAAGCGGCTCGGCGCCGAGTGGAAGCTGCTGAGCGAGCAGGAGAAGCGGCCGTTCATCGACGAGGCGAAGCGGCTACGTGCGGTACACATGAAGGAGCACCCGGACTACAAGTACCGACCGCGACGCAAAACAAAGACGCTGATGAAGAAGGAGAAATTCACCCCGGCCGGCATGGCCGCCGTCGGCGGGATGCTCGGTGTCGACCAACGGCAGGTAGGCACCGGCGCTGGGCCGCAGTCCAGCTCATTGACCCGTGATATGTACATGGTGCAACAGACCAACGGCTACATGCCCAACGGACACGCAACTGCCCATCACTACCTGATGCACGACCCGACGACGGCGACGGTCGCGGCGGCGTATCAGCAGCACCAGGCGGTCGCGTACAGCGGTCACATGAGCGGCGCCGCGGCCACCGCGGCCTCTTATCCGAGATACCCGGACGCGATGAGCCATCACATGGGCGGCGGCAGCCCCAGCCCCATCAACAGCTACATGAACGGTTACAGTGGATACCCAGGCACCACTGTGCCGGGCGGCTCACCCTCGCCCTATCATCAGGCGCAATCGGGCTCGCAGATGTCCAGTCACAGTCCAAGCGGCAGCAGCATAAAGTCCGAGCCTACGAGCCCGGCGAGTGGCGGTATTCACACGCCGACGCCGACGGGGCCGACGTCGGCGGGCGCGGCCGCCGGCCAGGCGGTGAAACGGGAGTACATGGGCCAGCAGCAGCAGCAACAGCAGCAGCAGCAGCCCAACCAGCAGGGTGATCTCAGGCAGATGATCTCGATGTACTTGCCGCAGGGCGTCGAGCAAGGAGTCGTGCACCACAGCACGGCCGTCTACTCACCCGGCCCGTCGCCGGAGGCGTTGACGCAACACCAAGTCCCTGTGCCGCACCTCCAGCACATGTAAGCAACGCATCATCTACGAAATATCCTCTCTTTTCTCTCTCTCTCTCTCTTCTCTCTCTCTCTCTCTCTCTCTCTCTCTCTCTTCTCTCTCTCTCTCTCTCTCTCTCTCTCTCTCTCTTCTCTCTCTTCTCTCTCTTCTCTCTCTCTCTCTCCGATACCTCCTGCTCGCCTGCGTTCGCTTTTACCGAGTTTTCGCTTCATCGCTCGCTCGTAGATATGACAAGGACGTCACCGGCCGCTTCAGCTTACTTTGGGAGTCATGTCGGAGCAATCAAGTTGACAGTCTTTTTGCAGACGAGGGATACGACTATATTTTTACGGGTCTTTAAGAAGCTGAGAGAAGACACACAATGTGACGATGTAATCGCAGGTTGTTCCCGGTGGAGATGAGCCCTGTTGTTTTGTTGCCGCACAAGAACGGAATCGGTGTAGTTTACTTTGCTGATGAGCGTTACATGAAACTTCTCGGGGACACTTGGCCGCACGATGAAGACGATGACGAGAGCCTCTTGTTTCATTTTTTCCGTTGCTCACACATATGCGTGAGCTTATGTCATGGTCAAATCCGGCGGGTTCCCGCGGCCGACGGTGGCTCTCGCAGAGAGTATTCCAGCAGCGTACCCTTACTCGGCCGATCGCTCGCCGGAATGTCGTCTCTCTCTCTCTCTCTCTCTCTCTCTCTCTCTCTCTCTCTCTGTGTATCCGTGAGCCTAATATTTACGTTCGACGTCGACACACGACATCGTTCGCCGGAACGACGCGTTCTAGCAGTCGAGTCGCTCAAATTTGACTCGGTCTCGACGTAGAGGACCGCGTACAAACAACGTCTCTATGCCGCGGACTTGCAACGACAATCCTGGCTACAGGACGCGATCGCGGACGAGCTTTGCGCCTCTTGACGTGATATATTCCGATTGTATTCGGCTCTCGCTCGAACAATGAGAGTGCTCTCGTCGCTTAGCGGGTTCTCTCGCTGATTCCTCCGCGACTCGCGATTGATCGACGCGACGCAACTCGACATTCGCAAGCGTCCACCTTCGCGCGCGTCTTGTCTCCGCGCGAGTCAAGGCGGATCCGCCTGGAATATGAACGTTAATATGTGCGAAAACACGCTTCCGATTGCTTCTCGTCGAAGTTCCCGCCGAACTCTGAGTCTCCCATCGTGCTGGCCTCTCTGCTTGTCGTATTTGTTATTTATATTTATTTACTTTTATTCGCACCTTTTCCGCAATTCTTTCCGTTTCCTCGCGCGATGGAACGGTGCCGGCCGACGATACGTCGTTGTCATTGGTGTATTTGGTTGAGCAATTTTTCAGATGTTTCTAATAAATTGTTGTCAATTGTTACAAAACATTGTGTACAGGTGTTCTTTTTGTTCGCTCTCTTTTGTCTTTGTCGACCTCTGATCTCGACTTACTAAGAGGACCCCCCGCGGCTCCGCACACGCGCTGATCCCGAGTGAGCGTTCGTGTCATGAGCGTTATTATTCGGCACCATCTATCTGTCTCTCTCTCTCTCTCTCTCTCTCTCTCTCTCTCTCTCTCTCTCTCTCTCTCTCTCTCTCTCTCTCTCTCTCTCTCTCACTCTCTCTCTCACTCTCACTCTCTCTCTTGCTAACTCGCAGGTCGAACGAGATAATGTTTCGCAAGCGATACACATCCATCTTCCTTTCCAGTTCTCCGGAACACGCGAGAGAATAACAAACGTCGACGACACGCGAAAGCTTGCCGAATCACGACTCGAACGCTCACGACGACGTCCTTTTGCCGCACGAGCGAACGATAATATCGCGCATATATACGCTATCGTGACAATGCTTCTGGACCCTATCATCGCCACCCCCCTACACCCCACCCCGCCGCCGCTGATTAACAGCTAAAACGATGATCTACGGTGTTACATCTCTTCCAAGCCGCCCCGGAAACCGCGGATACGAGTCGCTCGCGATTATTAGAGCTGTGCGCGCACACGCACGCACGCACGCACTCACTCTCTCACTCTCACTCTCACTCACTCACTCACTCACTCACTCACTCACTCACTCACTCACTCACTCACTCACTCACTCACTCATTCACTCATCCACCCACTCACGCACGCACGCACTCACGTATGTCACGTGCATACGGACACACGCACACCTGGACGGCTGCTAATCAGAGCCGGTACTTTCGAGATGTCGATGCGCCGGCAAATTATAGGCCGGCGTATCGTGGCGTCGAGTCGACAGCGGGAGAGAGAGATACCGTGAATTATCGGCTCTCGCGTGCGCCGGCCGAGATCCGCCGGCCCGCCTCGACGAGACGCGAGCGTTCTCTCTAACAATCCTTTTCCGCCAAAATCGCCGTTAAGCTGATGAAAGATTCGAATTCCCCCCGCATTTGCGCGCTCTCGCCGCGTGCGAGATCAATGGACGCGCGCGCGCACCCGCGCGATTAGTCTCACACGAATCGAGCCTCTCGCGACTCGCGGAAACGAAGGCGAATTCGGGGCTCGTTGAGACCCTCGAGTTGCCTCGACCTGCCTTCGAGTCGAGGCTCGATGCTGTTTCGAGGCACTTCTCCGGGGGACGATTCTTCCGACGAGTATCGATAGCGCGAGGTGCGGCTTGCGTCTCCGAGAGACACACCACGCGGCTCTTTGCGAGGTTCCCGAAGTTGCGTGTCTCACGTTGACATTCGACTGCGACCTGCCTGACAATTGTCCTGTTGCGTCTCTCTCTCTCATCATGCATCATCCGCGACACGGCCCCATCGCGCATTGCCACCGCTGCGATTTTTCCGGCCCTTCTGCGTCGGAAAGCAGTTGTCATCTTGTTTTGTTTTTCTCTCTTTTTCTTTTTTTCTTTTTTTTTTTTTTTCCCTTTTTTGCACGTCGAACCGCGCATTCACACTTGCGGGTTTACGGAAGATTGCTCAAGGAGGATTCCCACTATCAGTGTCGGTTACTCTGCGGATCCTGCGATCGTCCGGAGCGTTCGTTTTTTCTCATCCGTCTCCTCATTCATTTCGTGCCCCGTTACGCTCTTGGACGCTCTCGAAGTTGCGTTATTTAAGTTCCTGTGCGCGGAATCCGATTGATTTCGCGGAGTACGAACGATTTTCGTTCTCGTCGGATTGAACGTAGGGTCCAGAACGAAGCAGCGCTCACGATATCATTTTTGTTTTCCTCACAGTTCGAGGCTCAATATTTATTTCTCCCGGTGGATTCGTTTGTTTCTTTTCTCGTTTTATATTACTCTCCCCGTCCACGCTTGTGTGTGCAGAAAGTAATCGCACAGCTGGAACAGTAATCGCATAGAAATAAATATTGAGTTCAATCGTTTGGTGGATCGCTTGACGTTTCGATGTAGGTTGAGTCAAAAAACCGAGTTTGTCATTCCGTTCGCCACCCCGAGAGACAGCGTTTGCCGTGGAAATCTCTTCTCGTCGCGGATCTCCCTGTTTTTTTTTTTTTTTTCTTTTATTTAGTTTTGTTTTACACCTCGAGCCTTCGAATCGTGATTTTCGCCTTGCTGTCGCCGACACTCGTCTCGATTTGGACGATTGAGATTGCAATTAAATGTCACGGTCGCTTTTTCCAATCACGACGCGGTCGCCGAATGATCACGACGAAGGTTTCTTCTGACTCATCCTATTTCATCGACGCGACGCGACGCGACGCGACGCGAGGCGCAGGCGGCTAGAGCTAGAAACTTTTAACGAAAACGTCTCTTCTCTCTCACATCTTTTCGCAACCTAACATCAAACATGAACTACCGTAGGATGGCTACTACTTAAGAGAGCAAAAGACACACAGAGACACAGTGACAGAAGGAGAGAAAAAGCCAAACATGGATAATCATCTGCGCGGAAAGAGCAGAAAAGAGACCGAGAAAAAAGAAAAACCGAAAAAAAAAAAGAAAAGAGCACCACACGGAGTGTGAGAGAGGAGCACTCAGTCCAACGCGCAGACGAGAGTGAGATAGAGAGACGGTGAAGAAGCGAGAGGACATGAGTGAGGAGAGTCCAACCAGATCAAGAGGATGGTAGTGTCTCGCAACTTTGGGACGCAGTTTTCACAAGGATACTACGAGGGAGGCAGAAACGAATCGACCTCCCGCAACTCTTCGCACTCGAACGGACGAGAGAGATTTCGTTTGACAGAACACACGTACTGAGCTAATTACCACTACTAAGAAATCCTTTTTAGCTTCAGAAGCTCGGAAGGATCGTGCGACTGCGAATCGCTTCATGTCGAGCGACTAAAAATGTCTCGGAACATTTGCGGGACCGAGTCCTCGGTGTCCTTTTTTTTTTCTCTCATTTTCTTTTCCGATCAAGTGTTTCTTCGCTTCATGATGAGAATCGTCACCGTTGAAAATGATTATTGACCCTCGACGCTTTCGCGAAGACCATCGACGAATCGAGCATTGTATATTGTTAATTTGTTACATGAGAAATATTACAGACGATACAAAGAGTTGAAGAGAACAGTCGTAATGAGATGACAACGAACGATCGTAATGATGAGAGATTTACGATTATGCGGACAAGACTGGTGAATGAACGTCGCGCGAGTTTAACAATAGGGAACAATAGAAGGTGGCGGAGCATGAAAGATCGGCAATCGTCGTGATCGGCGATCACTTTCGATTCGTTCTCTCGACGAAGCTCATTATGAGGAATTTGTCGTTGTACTATCTAAATAAGAATTTTACAATGGTGCTAATCGGAGTATACGTTACATTATATAATTGGTTCTATGGCATGCAATAAATATAATTGAGATGCATGTGATTCTACGATTCGTTAATGTAATATATAATGATACGGCGGGCACAAATATCTTTAATTTAAAGCGTAAACATACAAACACACACACACACACACACACACACACACACACACACACACATATTATATTTACACGTAAATGAAAAAGTACAATAATATATACACATATACATATGTATGTATACATGTGTATGTGTGTGTATACATGTATAAGTTGCTAAAATCTGAGAGAGATATTTCGCGTTGTTTTCTATGAATATAAATATTTAAAAGCAATTATTAATTCGTGTCACCGTTTTATAGAAATTGCGTCAACACGAGCGATTCATTCGGTGTAAATAATAAAAAAGTAACGTGCAAAGTAAATAAGCACGATATTCGACCTACTCGGTTTAAATTCATAAAATTATGCAACTAGTTATAATTGTATAAATGTACATAATCGCACGCTCGTATGATTTCGGTAATGCTTAATTCACTCGTATGTTTTTTTTCTTTTTTTTTTTTTTCTTTTCTCATTCGTTGTCTTCGTTGACGCTCGTCTTGGGTAAGCGCGACACGTGAGATGACGAATAATTCTCTTTCGTCGTAAGCGAAATTCCTGATGCTACTATGTAGTGCTTGCGAGCTTACGATACGACGAGATCAGACACTTACGCGCGTGCCCGTTATCTGTAGAACATCCAAGTCAAAAATCACTATTTCGGGTATTCCATGGTGTTATATGCGTAGGTAACGGTCTAAGTATTGTTGTACATAAATAAGCAAGGAAGACAAGCAACCAATCAAAAACTGACTCGCCCGGAAATATGTATTAGTGATATTTTATTATATATAATATAATATATAATTCATTATATAATTATATGTAGCACATACGTGTTATATAATATATTATATATTATGTACAAAAATGTACATGGGTGTGTGCTACTGCTATTACTATTAATATTATTATTATTATTATTATTATTATTATTATTGTATTATTATATCTTTACCTCTGAGCAAGCAATAATTTAAGTATATTATGACTATAA